CCCTTGTGTTTACTGTTTCTTCTGGAGTAGATGGGGATGGGTGAGGGAAGAGTCTTCACATGGAATGTTGTTCCTACACACATGACCTCTCACGGACTTTAGATGTGGATGTGAGTTTCAGGGGTTCATGTCTGAAGGTGCACCTATGGGTGTCCCCATGTCTGAATGTATGTATGCTAGCGCATGTATGTTCCAACAGCCACATTGTACGGGCATGTATTCTGGTATGTACCCTGGGCATGCCTGTGCATACTGGGGCAATTTCTGTGTGCATTGGACTGTGCTTGGATCCGAGCAGTCTCCTTTCCCCCAAGGTCTCCTCAGCTCTCTGCAGTTTAACCTCATTCTTTCTGCTGTTTCGCTGCTTCTGGCCTCCTCTCCAGATGTTGCAATTAAGCAAATGCAGCAATTAAGCAGAGTCCCCCAAACAGCCATCCCACCAGGATCCCCCTCCAGGAGCTAATGAGGGGTTACAGCACGTGCAGACCCACGTGGTCTGATGCAGGCTCTCGGGGACCCCCCCCCCCAGGCTGTGATGGCACGGAGACTCGGGCACGCTGCACAAACACAGCAGAAGAGTGCCCTGCTGGCTCGGACTTTTCTGGGTCTCAGCACACTGACCCCTGATTCCAGATCGGCCCCAAGTTCGGGGTCCTTCAAAGGTCCTGGGCTTTGCTCTGGGTCCCCTGCTTCCTAGTCACAGTCTGGGCTCCTCTGACCTGGGCTTTGTCACCACAGGTCTCGTTATGTTGCCCTTGCTTTCCCTGGCACAGCCCTGTCCACTGTGACCTACGTGGGCTTCCTCATCGTAGGCTCAGTCCTTCCTAAGCCAGGCGATTCCCGTTCCTGGCCACTCTGGGCTGTCTGAAAATGCAGCTTCTTCCTTTGGGGGTATTAGTTCATTAAAGGCAGGACCTGGGCTGTCCAGGTCACTGCTTTATTGCAGTATGGTGTTAGTTAGCTTTCTCTCTAGTGACCCAGCATTTGAAAAAGGCAACTTAAGAGTGGAAATATCATGGCCTAGAGAGATGGCTCAGCAGTTCAGACTGCCAAGTGCTAGAAGGAAGAAGACAAGACACCATCAACAGTAATAGACCCCAATGACCTACTTGCTCTGCTTAGGTCCCCAATCCCAGCTTCACTACCTTCCAATTGTGAACTCAACTGTTTGGTGTTCCTAACTGTTAGGCAGCTCCTAAATGCCCGAAACTCCAGCTCTAGGAGATTCAGCACCCTTTTCTGGCCTCTACAGGTCACACACATGCATACACACTTGCAAATTTATGTGTGCACCAGCACATGCGTGCGCACCCCTCCCCGCTCCATGAATAAATAAATAATAAAATCAACATGTGACAGAGATGGCTCTGCCCTTACAGGCACTGGCTGCTCTTGCAGAGGACCTGGGTTCTGTTCCCAGCACCCAGGTGATGGCGTACAGCCATCTTGAACTAGTTCCAGGCGCTCTAAAGCAAACAAATGGTATGTACGCGCACGAACACCCAGAGGAAAGACTTGTACTCACAAAATAAAAATAAACGCATCTTTTAAAATGAGATAAACTCAGAGGAAAGACTTCACTGGGCTCGTGGTCTTGAAGAGCACAGCATTCTGGCTCCACGGGCTTCAGCAGAAGATCACGGTGAAAGGAATACTGACAGGAATGAAAGAGAGAGACAGCTCGCATGACGGTAGACAGGAAACACAAGATGGAAGAAGGTGAGACACAGCCCCCATGACAGGTTCCCAGGGATGTACCTCCTCCTGTCAGGCCCCGCCTCTCACAGCTCTGACACACTCTAATCATCTGCTCAAATGTTGAATCCATTAGTGGACTGGCCCACTCATTAATCCAGACCATCACCAACGAGTTAACCTAATCTCTTTATTTGCTTGTTTATTATGTATACACCAGATCTCATTACAGAGATTTGTGAGCCACCATGTGGTTGCTCGGAATTGAACTCAAGACCTCTGGAAGAGTAGTCAGTATTCTTAACCTCTGAGCCGTCTCTCCAGCCCTCCTAACCTAATCTCTTAGTGGCTCTCTTTAAGATAGGACCTCCAGGGTGGCCTGGGGGGGGGTCATTGGGTTGCTCAGGCTTACCTTGAACTTTCAGCAATCCTCCTGCCTCAGGCTCTCAGGATGGAATTAGAGATGCTAGCCACCATAACTAGCTATATTTCTTTATTTTATCCTATGTTTTGTCCTCTTCTTCCTTTTCCTCCTCTTCTTCCTCTAGCTCTGTCTGTCTTAGAACTTGACAAGTAGACCAGTTTGGACTTGAACTCAAAGGGATCCTCCTGGGATCCCAGTACTGGGATTGAAGGTGTGTGCCACCACTGCCTGGCTTATTTACTTTTTTTGAGTCAGGATTTATGAGGTTCAGTCATCTTCCTGCCTTGGTTTCCTGAGTGCTGGGATTGCAGGTCTGTGCCCTTACACCTGGCTCTTAGGAAATTTTCTTTTAAAGATTTATTTTTTTTTACAAATATCATGTCTTTATGAGTTTTGCCTATATGTATGTATATCTGGGCACCATGTGCATGTAGTGTCTGCAGAGACAGGATGAAGGCATCAGATCTCTTGGAACTGCAGTTACAGAGGTCTGTGAGCTGCCACGTGGGTGTGGGAATTCAAACCTGGGTCCTCTAGAAGAGCAGCCAATGCTCTTAACTGCTGAGCCATCTCCCCAGGCCCTTATCTTTTATTTTTATGTGAGTGTTTCACCTCCAGGTTTGCATGGATGTGTGCCATGTGCATGTCTGGTGCCTGCAGAGGGCAGAAGAGGACACCCGATGACTGGGGCTGGAGTTGCAAACAGTTGCAAGTCACCATGTGGGTGCTGGGAACCCAACCACAGTCTGCTGCAAAGGCAGCAAGTGCTCTTAACCACTGAACCATCTCTCTGGCCTTTCGTGAGCATGTCTAAATCCATCAGACTGACAGGCGAAACTGACCACTGCAGGTGTTAACTATGATCACGGCCAGACAATGGCAGCAACTGCTGGTCTAGCGGCAGCACCCTTGCCCATGCCTCCCTATTTCCAGCAGATGTGGGCAGCCGCATCCCCTTCACCCACCAGGCTTTGGCAATGCTGTGGTGGGACAGTTCTGTGCACATTGCCTGTGTCCCTGGCTTATTCCTGCGAGCCTTCAAATGTGGTCCCCAGATCAGTGGCACCAGCTTTGCAATCCTGACGTGTTCTGGGGGTTCTGTAAAGTTCTACAACAGCTGGCCAGGGAGGTAACCTCGTGCCTACCAAAGCTCTTCTGTGCTGTTTCTCTTTCCTACTGAACTCTTTGTCCTGCCTCCGTTTCCCATCAGCACCCCCCAAATCTACCAGTACCACTGAATTTGCCTACTCTCAGGATGGCCTCCGTGTCTTCACCAATCCCAGTATCTCAGCAGTGTCTCTGAAGCTCGGCTCTTTCCTGGGCTGTCCAGTGTCCACTACCTACTGTGTTGGGCCAGGAGCACTGATGAACTTTGCTAATGATCTGGAATGGCGGGCCCCAGGGCTGAGTTAATTTTAGCTGCAATTTTTCAATAGACACCAGTGGAAGGAGCCAAAAGTGTATTCTGAAACCTTCAGTGGAGTTGGGAAACGCCAGCATGGATGGACATCCACTTGCCACCTCCAAGGTCACTCTGCTCAGATGGCTTCTTAGGTCCACACCCACCTCAGGTCACCCTGGTTGTGTGTGTCTCCTTTGCAACAAGGCTTCTGGGAGACCATGCTCCCTGCATGCTTACACCAAGTTCCCAGACCAGGCTCGTGGGCCATCACCCACAACCCTCCTCCTTAAACACCATCTGCCAGAAGAGTATGGGACCACCCACCTCTGCTTCCCCTGTCCCCCCAGCACCTTGCCCCTTGAGTTTTGCATTGGCACAGATCTGCCAGGGTCTTCTGTGGCAGAAGACGGCAGACATGTTTCTTTGTGTCCACCTGTCAAGCCTCCTGACTGTGACCCTTTACAGGATCTCCAGTCAACTCTCTCCCTAGTGCCAGGAGTTGACAAGGTTCTTAGTGCCAGCTTCCTTACTTCCAACCAGTGAAATGAACCCCTCTTGCCTAAAAGAACAAACCTGTTCCTAGACAGAACCTGGATAAGAAGGTGGCTTCCTGGGAAGGTGGTGCTGAACTAGAGGGCCAGGAGGCAGATGTGTGGGCATCTAAGAACGAGGGCTAAGTACAAGGATATGAACGGGTACTGGACACTGAGTTGCTAGGGTGCTGCATATGGGGGGGGGATAAAAGAGATTAGATTAGATAGACAGACAGACAGACAGATAGCATGTCTCTGACTTGTCCTTGCCTCTTGTGTCTGTTTCTGAGTCTCTCCCTGTCACTCTCTATCCACCTCTCTCCTTTAGTATATTCCCATTCTACTCTAGGCTCTCACTCTAAGCCTATCCATATTTTTTAAGTCTCTCCCTAGCTGTTCTAGCTCATCTCTTTGCCTCAGTGTCTCTGTCTGTCTTTTTTCAGGGATATTCTTATTCCCAGCAGCTCCTGGGCGACTCCATGGTAGGTGGTGCTAGGGGCGCGCCTCTGAGAGGAGGGAGGAGGGGGGCTGCCTACGCCT